TTTCCTCCCACTTCTCTTGCTACAAGTATGTTTTTCTCAGGCAGCGAAGAGCATGCCTAGCCTATATTTGAATGAATTTTATCACTCTTGTTGTAAATTATGATCTGGCCCTCACAGAAGCGATGAGTTTTTCATCGCACATGTTTTGAAAAAAAAAGGATACACGTGTTAAAAAATTTGGTAGTAGTCCAGTTCCTTGACCCGGACTACTGGGAAAACCCCAGCTTGCACAACCTGAGCAAACATGGCTTTAATCACATGGGTCTGGCCGGGCGCACTATGCACTCCTGGCACTGCAGCAGTCATCTTCAAAAGGGATTGGCCTTTGCAGGATTTTTTTTCTCCGGTCGTGTTGCGTACGCCGGGTCCCCTCGGGTCTACTATGCCAATTTTTTCTGTACCCCTGCCAATGTCTTGTAGATTTCAATATTTATCTCTTATGAAGTCCTAGCAAAGACATTTTACCGCAAGGTAGTTCACAACTTAGAAAAGCGTACTTTCCCGACACACGTACGCTCAACAGTACAAAATGTCACTATATATGGAGTTGATAAAAAAGTCTTGCTTCGATTTTCGAGAAATGGATTTTCTATAACAATCTTTCCTTCTATTCATAGAACCAACGGCACGTTCATCATCATTGCCTTTCTCACCCTGCTCCAGGGTATAGGCCACGGACAAACAGCTGCTTCTGTCCATACTGTATCCAGTGTGTTTCGCTGACTCCTAGTATGTGCAGCCTGTATCTCTTCATCTCTTGTACTACTTGAGAGCTCTTTCCTGCTTCATACAAGGTGTGAACATTCCAGGACGCAATCCGGAGAGACTTGTTCGACAGAGAAGGTTTCGGGTCAGAAGAGTCCTTTCGGCTTTGTCCGCTGTCCTTCATTGTTTCTCCTGATGCAGAAGCTCCCCCTCTCCCAAGATCGAAAAATAAAAAGCTGTGTTTGTCCGTGTTTGTGTAATTTACTGATTTTTACGGGGTTGGGTAGTTGGCCCTCCGCAAACTGGCACTTTTCGGGCGACCAGACCTTTGCAGTTTTATTCGCCTCTTACGACACGCAGTATCACGGCAGGTGTATTCTTTGCTCCCACATAGTAAAACTATGGGAACCCCCCCCCCCCCCCCGCTCCCCCATAGTAAAACTATGGGACCCCCCCCCCCCCCAACCAGCAGGGGCATTAACGGCACGTTACTCAGTGAAAATACAGTCGAAATTATATAATGACACAGCTATCCATTGTTTAGGAGAAAAGTGGCCGGCTTAGACAGGCGACCACCTTTTACAGAGTCATTATAAAATAACAAATACACCAGGGAGAAAATGGGATGTGGTCGTTTGTGCAGGTGACTGTCTTACACAGGTGACCGTTAGAGCAGATATGATTATAGTTTCTATAACGCTGATCCAGACAATTTTTTCGCAACTTAAAAGTTAAATAGAAATCTGAGGCATCAAGCGGTATGCAATCTGTGGTAGAACCACGGATCGCGTATTGTACATAAAGATACGTCACTTTCCTATAGTTAACCCCCCCCCCTCCAAAAAACAACAACAAAAACAACAAAACCACAAAAGACAACCCAACAAATAACAATAATAAAATACAACAAAAAACAACCAACCCCCCCAAAAAACCCCCCAAAAAAACAAACAACAACAACAAACCCCCCCCCCAAAAAAAACAACAACAACCCAACAATTACATACGCTTGTGAACTTGCTTATCACGTGCATGTTCAAAGCAATTTAGAGTGAAGAATACCCCATTACCAATAATAGAAAATGAACCCTCAACACCCCCCCCCCCAACCCACCCATTTCCATACACCCACAAACACACGAACACACACCCACAAACACACACACACACATACACACACACACAAACTCATACTCACTCCTTCAAAAATTGATACCAACGCCCCTTCAAATTCCTTTCCATCTCTGCCAGCGAAACAGATAAAGGCTTTTACTGTATGTTTGCATTTTAAAAAAATCTTATAATGACTACGATCGAATAATTTGACAAGAACGATGTCATAAGAGGTTCTTGAAGTGTAAAACCTTCACTGATAAAAGAACCACCCCAACCTCCACCCCCAAAAAGACTCAAAACAAAAAAGAAACAAAGAAACACAAAACAAACCACACAAAAAAAATTTAAAAATCCCACATGTAGGCTACGTTGATTTCGGGTATTAAAAAAATCCAGTTTTCTCCTTGGTTATCTTTCCTTTCATCGCATTATTTCATCTTGTTTTTACCCCCCTCCCCTCCCCTCCCTTTCTCT